AGTTGATAACTTTTGTATTTCTTATCGGTTTTACATATATAATATATCAAATTAATCATCTTTTGATGATATTCGATTTGACATCCATATTGTATATATGAAATAAATAAAATTTATTTATCTTTATAATAATAATAAATAATAATGTTTACTAAAATTCAGTAGAAAAATAAAATTATTTCTCAATTGATATATTTATATCTAATGTAGTTATATCTTGTAAGTTAAAAAATTATTATAATATAATACAACTAAGTTGTACAAAGAAAAAGTGTCATACTAAATATATAATAATATATATTCTTATAAAAGACTAGTACAGAGCCCGTGCGATGCACGAGTTGCACAATTTTAAGGCTATTTATACATCCTCATAATTATATAAATGAATAAAGAAAAATGTACGGGATATATATAGTACATGACTTGTGCGAGGCACAAGATATATTTATTTGTAGAATATTATATTATAAGATGCAATATTCAATAAACGTTTTATAATACGTAGGAAAATTGTACAAAAAAATAGTATTCGAAAAAAAACAATTATATATTATGAAAGACCTACTTGTACACAACATGTCAACATTATGAGTTTGATTATTGGGCAACTCGTCATCCGCACAAACTAATATCTTCAACCTCTTCTATTAGTTACACGCGAAACAACAACATATAATTTCTCCCGTGTAGCATGATCTTAAAATCACCGGATGTCGAACGGTACTTTCCTAGATTGCTGTCAACTTGGTAATTCTTGATACAAATGATCATGCCCTCCTCAAAATTCCTCTCTCTAGACACAGCCAAGTTGATTGTCCGTAGCCATGCAACAATGCAATTTCCCTAGACATGTACAAAAAAGTAATAAAAAAGATTAATTTTTTTAAAAAATATAAATAAGTTAAATATCTGAATACATACCCGATAAAAAGAAAGAAGCCAAATTTTAATTTTAGAAAATAAAATTAAAAAAAGTAGAAAAATATACGTTTCATAGTTCAAAATTAAAAAAAAAAGTAAAAATAAATTGGCTTACAGATTTATCATGAAGAACCAACTCGAGAAAGGATTTGTATGTGTTGCCCTGGTCTTGAAAAAATATTCTTACAATTCGAGCCTTTAGCATAGGCCTATTAGACCTATTAACTTGTTTGATTAAGTCAAATACTTGATTCATTGTTTTGAATATAAGACTAATTGAGGATATTTTTTTGTTCGCAGGAGGTTGTCAGGGACGGAGACGATGACTCAATATTTTGAGATTTGTAATTTATATTTGATCGATAGATACAATAGTGGTTAATATTTTTATGAAAAAATCTCATTATACGGAAATCGGATTACATCTAGAGAAACAAATCTGAACAGATTTCCATACAATTAGATACGATCGGTGATAAAAAGATAAGAATGAATTTTGAATATATACAAACTTTAAAAAATTGATGTATTTACGTAAATCAATACACAACTAATCCTTTAATTTAGGCTTGATATCTGCTTTATTTATGGGTGATGTAAAATAAAGATATAACTTTGACCGATCAAATCTTTTATCACCGATCGAATATGCCTTTTTTTGGATTTTACGTACAATTTTTTGAGAAAATAGATTTTATGAAAATTTTTTGATTAAACCGATGTAATGAGGGAAAACAAATAAATAAAATAAGTAAATAAATAAAATAATAACTTAAAAATAAGATGCATTAATCAATGTTGACTTTTCTTACTACTAAATATAGTAATTTGGATGGTTTATTATATAAGTATAGATTATTATATATATAGAAGATATGGATAGATAATTTGATTGATGTATATATTGTACGGTTTTCAATTTGTTTTTGGTTCGCATGAATTTATTGGCTTTGTTTTCGAGCATTACCATATATGGTGGGAATGTAATTCAACTCTACATATATTGGGACTTCTATTTATCTGATTTTTGAAATGGTTGTAGTGATTATTATGCGATTTTTTTGGTTGATAATTTTAACCACAAATTTGCATGATCTGACTTTGAAATGTGTGGGTTGAATTTATTTTAGTGATAATAATAATAAAGAAAAAAAGTTGATTTGATTGCCTCTCTTATAGAAAGAAATATAAATTTCAAAAATTCTTATTATTGTGGGTTCGTTCCAACGGTTTTCGTGATATTATTTTATTTTTTTTGTGATAATTATGCAAAAATTTATGGGGAATTATTGTTATCATCTTAATAATATCATACAAATTATCTAACTAACGATTTTATTAAATTAAAATGTTCTTATGTGGTGTTTCAAAAAACTATGTAAATTGTTTTTTTAAAAAATTTAAAACAATTCGGAGATTCTTGTACGAAAAATAATTTAAGTTTTAAATAATTTGCGACTTACTCAAGGTAAATGAATAAAATTTGTGTCGTATTCATTTAGATTGAATTGTTGTTATGTATTACTTAAAAAAATGGGCATATCAGTTAATGTACGCTTTCGGAAATTGAAAAATCATGTAAAGATTGCATATCAGTTGGTTCCACATTTTATATAAAAATTTTGAAAATAAATTAAGAAACCATGTATACTGGAATTTTGTTTGTAAATTTTGAAATAATATCATTGATTGTCGTACCAAAAAAAAAAAAAATATGAAAGACTCCATAACAAATAGATATGCTTTCCAATTGATAAATATAATTTTAGTAGTACAATAAATAAAAACCTTAATCGTATAAAGCTACAAAATCTGTGATTTTAGAATAGATTCCATTAATTGTGATTGTTAAGGTATGTTAAAACTAATCATTATTAATATTTATAAAGACTTGTCCAGAATTATTATAAATAGAGTGTAATTAATGCATGGCGGGAAAATTAATTATTAATATTTATAAAGACTTGTCCAGAATTACTATAAATAGAGTGTAATTAATGCATGGCGGGAAAATATTTCTAAAAGTGATTTAAGTTAATTCTTATTATATATATATAGATATAGATATTTACATTTTCAACTACTTTTTTCTCATTAATTTTAGATTTTAAGAAAAAAATTAGCAAGCACTCGTGTAATGCACGGGCGTTGTACTAGTACATATATAAATTTATTGATGCTTTCCACAATTATCTCTATATATCTACCGTTTTCCCTCTCCAAAAATGCTTAATATGATCATATCGTTCGATTTAATGATGGAGGGATATTAATTACTTGACCCTATTACCGTTATGTGCAATTTTGTTATGCATCATTGATGAAAGCAATATTCTACACTCTTGACTATCATCCAATAACATTTGTAATGGTAAAAGAAGAGAAAATTACACTTAGTTAATATTTTACTCTTCTTGAAATCATAATCTGAAATCTTTAATTTTTCAGAAAAGAAAGGATGAAATAATTATGATTACAGGATCTTCCAAGTCCGGAATATTATTGTCCAAATCGAAATTGGAATGGTTACATAGTATGCAACATTTTCTTTTTCTTTTTTAATATATCCGGTCTGGCGGGTCGTTTCATAATTTCAATTTTGATGGGACTTTTGGACCGATCAACGAGCAATCCGGTCAAAACCAAGTTGACCCGCCATAACTCAGCTCGTTTTGACCCAATTAATTTATATTATTTTTATTTTCAAGAATAAATTAATAAAGTTATGTATATGCCTATGTGGAAAATATTTATGGTGAAAGGTGATAATGTAATGATTTTAAATATTTATACAACTCGATTGATTGAATGAATGTGTTGCACTTGAACCGTTTATTTGGTGATTCGAAGGTCATTATGGGTCATTTGTTTTTTTGTTTTTTATCAAGTTGGATATAAAAACATTGGTTGGTAGGGCTGCACATGAACCGAGCGGCTCGCGAGCGCTCGAGTTTGACCGAACTCGAGTCGAGCTCGAACCAAAATTTTGTATTGTCGAGCGGCTCGAGATATATGTTAAATTACTAAAATGTCCCTTATATATGTATTATAATATTAATACATGTACTTAATGGTAATTTTACAAATTTGCTTGAAAATATTCGAATTGAACTCAAACCAAGCTTGAACTATTGTATTTTTTTATCAAGTCGAGCTCGAACTTCATAAATCGAGTTGTGCTCGAGTTCAAACTCGAACAACTAAAAAAAATCAATCCTGCTCAATAATGTCAATCATCGACTTGACTCGGCTCATTTGCAGGTAATTGGTATTGAGATTTCTTTCTTGGAAGGACAAAAGAGAAAAATGCTCTCCTACTCACAGTGGACACATGTTAATATGTCCACCGTTTATATAGCATTCACTCATTTGTGATGTTAACATGTTCAAATAAATACATCACCAATGAGTGAATGCCACATAAACGATGAACATATTAACGTGTGACCACCATGGGTTAGTGAGCTGGACAAAAGAAGGTATTGAGATTTCTCAACGCAACCTTCGGATCAACGTTGTCAGTCTCCACGTGTCCCTATCCGAATAGACCGACCTCTCTTTACTTCTCCCACCTGTCCGATTTATTTCCATTTTTTAAAATTCTCAAAAAAAAAAAAAAAAAGAAAAAAAAAACTGTCAGTAATCAGTATCAGTAAAATCAACCGTTGCCTTTATTATTTCTGCTTCATTTCTATATACTTCTCCTTGCACCATTTTTCACTGATTTTAAAAGCCCAAGCCTTCCTGTTTTCTTTTCCCCTGCCTCTGAAAACTAATTTTTATCCATATTTTTTCATCAATTTATCTCCTTGTAATTCTGGGTTCCTCCGTTTTTTCGTCTATATGTCTGTCTTCGTGAAGAAATTCGTCGAGAAGGCTTTTCTGAAGAAGGTAAAGTTATCATCTTTGCTAAAAAAATTTTGTTGTAATGGGCTAATTCCTTTGATTATTAAGATCCCATTTTAGTATTTTTTTGTTCTTTTGTGTGTGCAATATTAGTTTGTAAGAAGTTCAAATCTGAAGTATTTGTATGTTAGTGGTGGGTGGAAAATTAGTTGTGGGGGTGGCTTATATTTTAGAGCTATGGTGTGTGGGCTGTTGTTTTTCTGGGAAAAGTTTGTATTTTTCTTTGTGTTTGGTGGAAGTCAGTTTTGGCCTTTTTCGGAAAATGTTAAGGTCCCGTTACGGGACGGCACCGTCGGTCTTTTGCATCATTAGATAAGAAAAGTATATTATGTTGTGTGGATAATTTACGGTGACAAACCCTGACGGAATCATTTTGTCTACGGGACTTTAGCCGTTCCCCAGTTTTCCATTGTAGCACCTTTCTCTTGTGTTTAAGCTTTGCAGTTTGATTGGCTGGGAGTTCTCATGTTCAAAGTTGTTGGTTTTCTAATTTCCTTTTTTTTTTTTTTACATTGTCTTGGCACTTAAATGCATATTCATGAGGAATTTAAGCAACCTTTACGAGGGGCCGAATCAGGGTTGTTGGCAAAAGAAGTAGGGAATATTCACAAATGGGCAGAATTAATGTAGAGATTGAAGCCATATCTTGCATTCAAGATTATAGTTCAAATATGTGGGGTGGAAAAGGAAGAAGAGCATGACATTTGAGTTCAAGAGATGCATATAAATCTGTCATAACTGGCATGTTTGTTTGCTTCTTTCTATTTGTCATGTAATTTACGGATTAAAACAACGGAAAATGAACTCTGTCGACCAAAGGTTTATGCACTCATGCATGGATAAGGTGTAACTGTGACAAACTCCTCTTATTTTTTCAACCATCGTTTTATTGTATACGTCCTGTCGATTTCACTATTTTTACTTTTAACACGAAGTGCATCTGTTCAGTTAATGGAGGAAGAAGATTAAATTTGGTGGTTATGAAATAATTAGAGATTCTGTTGGTATATGTGGTGGTAATTCCTCGTTGTTGGGCCAGAACTAAAGAATAGAAGCCGATTTAAGATTCACGTGGGCTATTGGAATTAGAAGTTTATACATTGACACAATCGATTCTCATAATAGTTGGGAGTCACTCTGGCCTTTGTTCTTGCCTTTTGAAATGATGGCTTACATTTTAAGAATTTGTAACTGTATACTAAGAAATGATAAAAAACCTGGAAAGTTGTAATTCAATATTGTAATGTTGGGTCTAAACAATGTGAAACGTATTCTGGGTATTACCGAAAGAGTCTAACTTTCTTTTTTTATCAAAAAATTTGTTTGAATCATGCCTAATTATGTCTCTTTTGACATTGTTGTTTGCAGCATTCAGGGTTTTCTGATAGTTTGGAGCCTGATGATGTAAGCCCTCGTTTGGTTTTCCATTATGGAATCCCGTCAGGATCTATGCTGTTTACATATGACTCTATTCAACATATTCTTGCCATCTCAACTAAGTAAGCTTTCTCATCCATATTTCTGACCAAACTCTCCTTTTAACTTATTTCGAAATTCATTAGTTCCTCAGTATGTTCTTACTAGATAAAATCTCCTTTATGTCCTTTCAGGGATGGACAAATCAAATTGTTCGGTAAAGATGGCTCACAAGCTCTGTTGGAATCTCCAGAGATTATGCTCAGCAAATTCTTGCTGGTTAGTGTTTGTAGGACTTCGTGTTTACTTTGTTCTGAAT